CGAAGGTATATTGAAGGAGGGAAGAGGTTATCTGTAGGAAGACATCTGGTGGAGACAGCTGTAGGTGTAGTGAGCTGAGAGGCGCTGCGGAACTGACCAATGGCAGAAAGATGCCTGATCATCCTGCAACTGGCACTACACAGCCCTCACCTGTGCCTCCAGAAGGCACAAAGGCCAGATGCGTGCGTGTGTGTGTGTGTGTGAAGGCACAGAAGTCGACAGCGCCAAAGAGATTAGCAAGATACTCGACTTTTTGAGACGCATTGTATGTCAAGGGCGCAAAAGTAAGAGAAAAAGTGGCATAGCCAGACTGTCGGTGTCTAGAAAGTTAGGGAACGACCCTGCACGAAGGCCGCCTAACTGTCTCCTGTTCTCCTGTTGTGTGGGGCTGCTACCCTGGCCAAGTGGAGCGCTCCACACACCGTCCAGTTTTTGTGTTTCGTTTTGGGCCATTTTGGCGTCAAGAGTTGGAGGGATATGGTGACCTAAGTGATGTGTGTGGCGCGCTGGGGCCGTCCAGGAAGCACATGGCTGCTCTCGGCAACGTTAGTATGGGATCTCCCGTGTGTTTGATTTCTAGTAATAGGCCAAGGTGCCGGACCTGTTGGTCAAGTTTATTTGAACCCTATGAATAAATTTAGTGAGTATGTATGTATTATACATGCATATTAACGCATTCGACAAGGGTGTGTGTGTGTGTGTGTGTGTGTGTGTGTGTGTGTGTGTGTGTGTGTGTGTGTGTGTGTGTGTGTGTGTGTGTGTGTGTGTGCATGCGTACATGGCCCTCTACCGTCCACCACTTGTGACGCTCTGAAAGCTTCACCAAGATCAAGTGCGCCGAAGCCGGCCATATCAAGGGAAAGTGTGCCAGGTGCCAGGTGCCAGACTGCTTAATGTGCGAGTACAAATATGAACGGTGTCAAGTGTACACGAGTGTCATCTGTACACACGCCAAGGTTACGTTACATATGACTGCCAAAATGTCTCATCATATACCAAAGCGTCAAAGGTTTTAGTGTTGCAAGATGTGTGCCAGTGCCACATTGCAGCGCTCTAAGCGGTAGAGTAGCAAATGTCAGTGTGCCAAGTTTGTTTGCTGTCCAGTTCAAAGGTCAGATGTGTTGGGGGGGGGGAGGATGCAAGTGCAAGCACTGGGCATACAAATAGTAGTGCCAGGTTCAGACTTGTAAGCTTGGCACGCATCAGAGTGCCGAATGTGTGCGTACGAAACGCGAACGTTGAGTGTCCAGGCGTGATTTACCTCTTGGGGCAGGAAGGTGCGTGTCTGCCTCCCCCCTCAGGAGATGGACGTCGGGGTTTCAGACACCACTCCACCTTCAGACCAGTGTCTACTCAGACACTCCACCTTCAGACACCACAGTTTCTTCTGATAACCTTGCCTCGGTCCCTCCTCACGCACACACGTAGGGCTAGGAACAGTCTTGTGAAAAGTTTCTAGACTAACCCCCGCAGGGATGGGCTGGCCCCTCCCCTACTCCAGTGTGGTGTTGACGGTGTAAGTTGGGGGCTAACGGGAAGCACAACTCCGCTACAGAGCAAGTCCGGCCAGCGATTGTTTGCCTAGAAGCGTTGTGGAGCTGGCACTTGGAGGCGGAGGTGTGTGACGAGCCATCAATTCTCTCACGTCTTGGTGAGCAGCACAAGAGTCAGAGAGAGAGAGAGAGAGAGAGAGAGAGAGAGAGAGAGAGAGAGAGAGAGAGAGAGAGAGAGAGAGAGAGAGAGAGAGAGAGAGAGAGAGAGAGAGAGAGAGTGAGTGAGTGAGAGGGTAGAGAGAGAGAGTGATGGGGATAGAGAGTAAGAGAGTAAGAGTGAGTGGTGATAGAAAGAACACCACCATCACACATCCCATGTCCAGTCCCACATCCCCTGAAGACTATAAGCATCTAATTGAGCGGTGAAGATTCCCCTCCCCCAACCCCACGCTGCAGGAGGACGAGGGGACGACCCAACTACACCATCCTCAGGAGACACTGACACGGAAGATAATGGTGATCTTAGATTCAGCAATAACAAAAAGTGGGCACACATGACTGGGGGAACCATGTGTGTTCTCGTGAGGCAATGGGTAGTATCTAAGAGATGTGCTCAGGTGGAATAATCTAGGCCGGTGAAATAGATGAGGCGAACTCCATACAGGATAGGATATGGAAGCCCCAGACATTCGCTACAGCCCCAGACACAGCCCCAGACATAAATACACAGGGAGGCTCGACTGGGCACAGATCTGATCACCCTGGGGGTGGAGGCCTGGTCGAGGACCGGGCCGCGGGGACACTAAAAAGCCCCGAAATCATCTCAAGATAACCTCAAAATAACCTGTTCACCATTCCTCTGATAGACTTAAGAGATCCTCTCTGGCGTTCTGGCTAAGATAACGTGGTGATCGATGCTCTGTAATTGTTGTCACGGGCTGTGAATGACGGGTAAGGGGGATGTGGTGGGGAATAGGGAGTCGGGGACGAGGTTGGGCGTGTTGGGGGATGTGGTAGGAGTTGGGGTTTGGGGAGCGACTGGGGAAGGTGGTGGTGGTGATGTCACGTAATAGTCACCTTTGCCACGATCACCTGAGATTAGCAAGGGACGTGAGGTCCTAGACATACTGTGGAAGTCGTATCCCGTCCGCGACTCCTGGAGCGAGCGAGCGAGTGGGTGGGTGTGTAAGAGTCAGCGAGAGCGAGTGAGCGAGCTGGAGAGTCAGCGAGAGCGAGTTTGCGAGCTGGAGAGTCAACGAGAGCGAGTGAGCGAGTTAGGCTAAGAGCGAGAGTGCAAGCAGGTGGGGTAACAGTGAACCAGGTTTCTGTGGTTGAGAGCGGGCGAGCAGATATAGGAATAGATTTGAGATCCGTTAAGTGGATAGGTGCGTAGGGATGAGAGAGCTAGGTAGTGGGTAAGTGGGTGTAGGTAAGAGCTAGGGAGTGGGTAAGTGGGTGTAGGGGAGAGCTAGGGAGTGGGTAAGTGGGTGTAGGGGAGAGCTAGGGAGTGGGTAAGTGGGTGTAGGGGAGAGCTAGGGAGTGGGTAAGTGGGTGTAGGTAAGAGCTAGGGAGTAAACGTTTTCTTTGTTTATCCCTAAATGGGTGTAAACGTTTTCTTTGTTTATCCCTAAATGGGTGTGAACGTTTTCTTTGTTTATCCCTAAATGGGCGTAAACGTTTTCTTTGTTTATCCCTAAATGGGTGTAAACGTTTTCTTTGTTTATCCCTTAATGGGCATAAACGTTTTCTTTGTTTATCCCTAAATGTGTGTAAACGTTTTCTTTGTTTATCCCTAAATGGGCATAAACGTTTTCTTTGTTTACACCTCGCAACAAATAAAGTATTGAGAAGTGAAGTACTATTAACTTAGTGTAATTCGATTATATAATATAGAAGCCTTAAAGATCAATATCACTTCAGTTAGTTAATTAACGTTCAAGTTTACCTTAACAAAAGTGGAAATAAGTCATTACCAAGCCTAGTAAAGGCTTGGAAGTTAATGTAAGGATTGGTATTTAACGGACCTGCATAAATAATGCCCAGAACACAGGGTATAATTCGTAATATGATCCCAACTAATGTTTGCCTGATGACGTCTGATGCCCTAACTTGTCAGCGAAGTGGACAGCATGCCAGGCAAGTCAGCCGTGTGGACCAGTTACTTATAAAGCTTTTACTGAATGCTAAAGCAAGTGTATTTTAAATGATTCAGCTACTGTCGCAGAGAAAACAAATTGGATTGCTAAGCGATTTGGCAAATACGGAGACTGATTCGTAGGGTGCTACGAGCATTTTGGTCCAGGGTTCGACACTCGAGGATGTGGTCCTGGTCTGTTGAGGCCATAGTAGCGATACCGGACGGTGGTCTAGGATGGTTGGTCCGGGAGTAATGGCTGGCCAAGTGGTCCGAGAGTGGTGAACCCGAGGTAGTGGTCCCCGTGAGAACCTGTTTGTGAGGTGGCTTGAGACCTGGCACTCATCAGGTCCTTTCGAAAGACTTTTCTAAAGTCCCGTTGGGCGTCCCTGCGCCGCCAGGGTCAACAAGTTGTAGGAGGCGTGTTGCAGCATCACTTCCTCCTCCCAGCCTCCTGCAGGATGCTTTACCACCACCACCTGCAGCTCCTTCTTTCACACAAGTAAGAAGCAGCCCAGGGTCTCTCAGCCCACACAATGACCTCCTCCATAACACAGCCACAGAAGGAAGTGTTCGACGCAGCCCAGTTATGTAAAATGTGCTCTTGAAATGTTGACCAGACCACACACTAGAAGGTGAAGGGACGACGACGTTTCGGTCCGTCCTGGACCATTCTCAAGTCGATTGTCTCACAATCGACTTGAGAATGGTCCAGGACGGACCGAAACGTCGTCGTCCCTTCACCTTCTAGTGTGTAGTCTGGTCAACATACTTTAGCCACGTTATTGTGACTCATCGCCTGCTCTTGAAATGCAATAGATCAATTGCAGCTCACAATTCATGGTGATATAATAGTGATAAAATGAACCGTTACATTTTAGTAATAACTGGAGAAGTAAAGACACCTCACTCTACTTCCTTAGACCCCGCGAGCACCCAAGGACACCAGCCACTAACATCACTGGAAGCCTCCCTCGCTGGACTGACTCATTGGGCTGCTCTGGATGGCTGCATTTGTTATTTATGGTAAAAGACCTAAATTGGAAACAATAGAAGCGTTTTAATGTGTCGGAGCCCTGTTCTCCTCCTTCGTCAGACCACCACCACCTCCTCCCCCTTCCGTCGCACAGTGCCAAGCGAGGCACTTGGCACTGTCCGACAAGACACTCCATCAAAACTGATTGCTCGAAAACAATAACAGGCGATGTTTCTAATTAAGGAACAAGCAAGCCAGTTACGAACTGAAACTTAAGCACCAGTGCGTTATAAATAGGAAGAATGGAGTGACTTTAGAAACAATAGTTATTGCAAAACCGCCCTTTGAGCTGAGGGGAATAGAAACAACATCATTCTGCACTACGTGTCGGTCTTACCTCGGTCTCTGATGGTGAGGGACAGCGGCTGGTCATCAGGCTGGCCCTCGAGCCGGCTAGAAGGAGAGTATCTTGGGATCCGGCTGCTGGGACTCGGGCATCGCTCCGAACATCTTCCTCCCATACGTAAATCCAGGGAGCTGTCCCTGTCTAGGTCCAGGTGGGCGTCACGGGTCAAGTCGAAGTGGCTGTCTCGTGGCAGCTCGAGACGGTTATCTCGTGATAGCTCGAGACGGTTATCTCGTGACAGCTCGAGACGGTTATCTCGTGATAGCTCGAGACGGTTATCTCGTGACAGGTCGAGACGGTTATCTCGTGACAACTCGAGACGGTTATCTCGTGACAACTCGAGACGGTTATCTCGTGACAACTCGAGACGGTTATCTCGTGACAACTCGAGACGGTTATCTCGTGACAACTCGAGACGGTTATCTCGTGACAGGTCGAGACGGTTATCTCGTGACAGGTCGAGACGGTTATCTCGTGACAACTCAAGACGGTTATCTCTTGACAACTCGAGACGGTTATCTCGTGACAACTCGAGACGGTTATCTCGTGACAGGTCGAGACGGCTATCTCGTGACAGGTCCATTCGACTGTCCCTTGAAAAATCAAGGTGACTGTTCCTTCCTAAGTGAGCTAGACTGTCTTTCCTGAGGGCGACTGGTGGCGAAGTGTCCATTTGAGATATCCTGGATCTCTCCCTCCGCAAGTCGAGGGTGGAGCTGGAGAAGGGCGAGCCGTGAACGTCTCCATGTCTGCTGCGATCGTCGTCTTGGAGTGTCCCTGCCTTCTGCGCCTCCAGCAGCTTGGCTTGCTGCTGTTGCAAGCGGTCCTTGATTAAGAAAATCTTCGGCATCTTAAGAACACTTTGTTTACACCACACAAAAATATAGATCTGGGAATTGCTTTCCTCTTCGTCTCAAGTCGCTGCCATTCACTGCATTTCAGCGCATCGAGTCAACACTGTCACTTAAATAGTCAGCACAAGTCCGCACTCGAGCACTAACTAACGGCATGGAGCAGCTGCAGGAGCTTATGTCTGGTCGAGGAGGTGCGCTCGTGGGTGGGGCTGAGGGAGCACCACACAGCACCAGCGGCCGGTAGTGTGGCCCAGGCAGTGTTGACAAGCCTGCTGCTGCTGCTGCTCCGCGCGGCTCCAGAGACTTGTACGCTACGCAAGTAGTGAGCCGCGAGTGTAGTATAGTGAAAGTGGCTGCTAGCACCTCCCCGCTTTGCGCCGCGCATGCGCACGCTGCCAGCCCCCTACCTGTCGCCATTGTCTGTTCATTTTATTGTTTTTCATCTCCTTTTGTGTCTTCTCCGTTCGAATTTGTCTTGAACTATGTAATAGTTTGCTGAATATTCAGTTGACAGGTGCTATACTCTGAGAGGGGCCAGGGGAAGGGCCAGTTAATAATCTTACCCGAGCACATCTGACACCACAGCCCACATAACTGTCCTGTGGGGAGCCAAATAAATGAATTATATACATAGTTCTGCGACATATGTGACTGTCGGTATATTTCCTTTCATAACGAGTTGATGGGTGTATCGTGTCTGAGGTACTAAGGTGTTGGGGGCGTAATATTAGGGGCATTAAAAAGACGAAGCGGGAAACTTTAGCGGCACTTGGCACCTATTCTCAGGACCCGTTCCTTTTGCCCTCCCCCAATCCCCCTCCCCCAATCCCCCTCTCCTTCCACCCCCTCCTCGAATCACCTTCCTCGTCCCCCCCCGGCCTCCCCCACCCTCCCCATTCCCCCCCCACTCTCGCCTCAGTTCCTGTATTTAATGATCAAGCCGCGAGACATTTCCTCTGTACTAAACGAGTTTCGTCTGTGACTTTAGCGGTGAGTGTCGGTTTCAGGGAATATGACTCGCGTGTCCGGCCATCTTCCACGTCGGAGCCTGGCGACGTGTATTCCGGTCTGTAGTGCCGTCGTTCGTCGTCCTGCGACGTGTGTGTGTGTGAGACGCACGTCGGCTGCGTCAGGCGTGGCTGTGAGATGCACTTCGATTTGATTACGGCTGAAGACTTTCGCGGTCAGCCAGCAGCCGATGTGATGCCTGCACGGCCCCTCCTGTGGTCTCCCATGCCAGGCCCCTCCTGTGGTCTCCCACGCCAGGCTCCTCTTGTGGTCTCCCATGCCAGGCCCCTCCTGTGGTCTCCCATGCCAGGCCCCTCCTGTGGTCTCCCACGCCAGGCCTCTCCTGTGGTCTCCCACGCCAGGCTCCTCTTGTGGTCTCCCATGCCAGGCCCCTCCTGTGGTCTCCCATGCCAGGCCCCTCCTGTGGTCTCCCACGCCAGGCCTCTCCTGTGGTCTCCCACGCCAGGCTCCTCTTGTGGTCTCCCACGCCAGGCCCCTCCTGTGGTCTCCCACGCCAGGCCTCTCCTGTGGTCTCCCACGCCAGGCCCCTCCTGTGGTCTCCCACGCCAGGCCCCTCCTGTGGTCTCCCACGCCAGGCTCCTCCTGTGGTCTCCCACGCCAGGCCCCTCCTGTGGTCTCCCACGCCAGGCCTCTCCTGTGGTCTCCCACGCGAGGCCCCTCCTGTGGTCTCCCACGCCAGGCCCCTCCTGTGGTCTCCCACGCTAGGCCTCTCCTGTGGTCTCCCACGCCAGGCCCCTCCTGTGGTCTCCCACGCCAGGCCCCTCCTGTGGTCTCCCCACACACTGCCCCCCCCCATCCAGTACCCTCCCACGCAGGGAAGGAAGGAAACTATCAGGAAGAAACGCCAAGCCATTACGACTGTATAGCACTGGGAAGGGGTCAGGATTTGGGATGGGACGGGGAAACGGAATGGTACCCAACCACTTGGATGGTAAGGGATTGAACGCCGACCTGCAGGAAGCACTTGTTGCCCCCCCTCCCCCCCCCCTTCCTCGCCTGTAGTCTTACTTTAGAGAACTCGACTTGGGTGTAAAGGGAAGAAAACAACACCTTATCAAAAGATGTTTTCGAGAACATTTCTTCGTTATGGAGTAGGAGGAGAGAACACGACCGGTGTATCAAGGTGACTGTTACAGCAGAGTGCTCTAAGATACAGGGTGTGAACTGACGATTTAAGAGACGAAGAAACCCGACGCCGGAGAGGACGAACAAACCCGACGCCAGAGAAGACGAACAAACAAACCCGACGCCAGAGAAGACGAACAAACCCGACGCCAGAGAGGACGAACAAACAAACCCGACGCCAGAGAAGACGAACAAACCCGACGCCAGAGAAGACGAACAAACAAACCCGACGCCAGAGAAGACGAACAAACCCGACGCCAGAGAGGACGAACAAACAAACCCGACGCCAGAGAAGACGAACAAACCCGACGCCAGAGAGGACGAACAAACAAACCCGACGCCAGAGAAGACGAACAAACCCGACGCCAGAGAGGACGAACAAACAAACCCGACGCCAGAGAAGACGAACAAACCCGACGCCAGAGAAGACGAACAAACCCGACGCCAGAGAAGACGAACAAACCCGACGCCAGAGAAGACGAACAAACCCGACGCCAGAGAAGACGAACAAACCCGACGCCAGAGAAGACGTTACCGACCCCAAGCCCCACCGACAAAGGACATCCGTGGCATGTCTAGCCTCAGTGTCGACCCGGAAGAGTACTAGAGAACATGTTGAAACCTCGCGACATTCCTTGGCCGCCACGTCCCCTATGCAAGCATCTCCAGTTGCATAACACCACGTGTTCTGGACGTTACAGAAGAGCGTGGGTATGACATTCTTCGTGGCCTGGGTGACCAGTTTAGAGGCGTTCGGAGCCGCTGCCACATTCCCCCCCCCCCCCCCCGGGGGAGCGTTGCCACACGCGGGAGGGAAACCTTGAACCTGAAAATGACAGCCGCTAGCTTGATTGGTCATCCGCCTTGCATCACGCTGCGCATCACGCTGCGCCTCGCTCTTACTGCGCCGTTACCTTTTGCTTGGTTATATTGCCTGCTTGTCGTCTCTCTCTCCTGCCTAGGAACCTGCTGCTCGTCTCCCTCTCCTGCACAGGAACCTGCTTCTCGTCTCCCTCTCCTGCTCAGGAACCTGCTTCTCGTCTCCCTCTCCTGCACAGGAACCTGCTTCTCGTCTCCCTCTCCTGCACAGGAACCTGCTGCTCCTGATCTTGCCACCACGTTCCAGGGTTGGCATACTCAGAAATCTGTCTCGTGTCTGTCCAACACGGTATAATAAGAGTGTTTATCTGGCGGTGGGTGTTCCTTGGAGGGTGCTCCTTGGAGGGTGCTCCTTGGAGGGTGCTCCTTGGAGGATGCTCCTTGGAGAATGTTCCTCGAGGGTGTTCCTTGAGGGTGTTCCTTGGAGCGTGTTCCTTGGAGGGTGTTCCCATGTGCTCACCAGACGACCCCTCGTCTCGTAAGATCTTACAGGTGCTGCAGCTCTGGGTTGCTGGCTGGCGCGCCCCTTCAGTCTGTTGTACTCATGTCAGGTGTCCTGATTGCCACCCCACACGCCCACCTTATCTACCACGCCCATCTTGTCCCCCCCCCCTACGCCCCACAGCCACGCCTCCCACGCCCCCACCCGTACCTCTCATGCCTCCCCGACCCATCCCCACCTTACCCCTCCTCCCTCTCTTCACTGAAGGTGTACCTATTTAAACACTAGTAAGCTCCTAGTGCATTACGGGCTATTCATGCCCGTGCCACCTCTTGGGTGACTCAATCTTTATCAATCAATCAATCCTAATGTAGGTGATGCTTGGAATGCAGGTCCGCCACTGGCCTATAAACAGCTCAGATCCACCCTCTCAGGCCACGGGAGACATCTCCCGTCACGCAGGGTGCAGTCGCACCTCCACAGATCTCCAGTATCATCTATTGATACTGGAAATGGCTCAAAAGGGCCACCACTTATGGGCTATTCATGCCCAAGCCACTTTTTGGGTGGCTTAATCTTCTCTCTCTCTCTCTCTCTCTCTCCTCTCAGGCCTCGGAACTGCACCACTCCTGTGCCAGGTAAGTTACGGGCTCACCATAGCCCGTGCTACTTGCCCCGCTCCTGTGCCAGGTAAGTTACGGGCTCACCATAGCCCGTGCTACTTGGAACTTGTTCCGAGTAGCTGAATCTATAACAACAACCTCTCAGGACTTCTGGAGATCCGTCTGTTTGTATGTGTTTAGTAAGAGAGACGGTTTCGCTTCATGCAGGTCGGCGTTCAATCCCCGACCGTCCAAGTGGTTGGGCACCATTCCTTTCCCACCGTCCCTTCCCAAATCCTTATCCCTTCCCAGTGCTATATAGTCATTACGGGCTCACCATAGCCCGTGCTACTTGGAACTTGTTCTTAGTAGCTGAATCTATAACAACAACAGCTATATAATCGTAATGGCTTGGCGCTTTTCCTTGATAATTCCCTTCCCTCCGGTCCACGGGAGAGCCAGTTTGGCACTGCCTGTGTCCCTCTGAGGTTTCTGTTATGGAGCAATATTCTCAAGCTATTGTCCAACCACTTGGACTGGTCGGTAGAGCGATGGCTATGCATCTTGTAGATTTGGCGTTCGATCTCCGATGGTCCATGTGATTGGGCACGGTTCCTTCTTTCACCTCCCGTCCTCATATCCCAGTTCCTTTGTGCTCTTATCCCAGTTCCATGACCTCGTATCCCAGTTCTTTGTCTTCATATCCATTTCAAGTGATATACAGTCATGCTGTATTTTATTTGAAAGGCGCTCAATATAATTGGCGCTCTCTCCTGGTAATTACTTTACAGACAAACTGCTTTGTTCGTTATCACACGTGGTCGCCCACCAGGCGAGGACTGACCTACAGTGTTTGGCCCTGACCTACAGTGTTTGGCCCTGACCTACAGTGTTTGGCCCTGACCTACAGTGTTTGGCCCTGACCTACAGTGTTTGGCCTGACCTACAGTGTTTGGCCCTGACCTACAGTGTTTGGCCCTGACCTACAGTGTTTGGCCTGACCTACAGTGTTTGGCCTGACCTACAGTGTTTGGCCCTGACCTACAGTGTTTGGCCTGACCTACAGTGTTTGGCCCTGACCTACAGTGTTTGGTCTGACCTACAGTGTTTGGCCTGACCTACAGTGTTTGGCCCTGACCTGCAGTGTTTGGCCCTGACCTACAGTGTTTAGCCTGACCTGCAGTGTTTGGCCCTGACCTACAGTGTTTGGCCCTGACCTACAGTGTTTGGCCCTGACCTACAGTGTTTAGCCTGACCTGCAGTGTTTGGCCCTGACCTACAGTGTTTGGCCTGACCTACAGTGTTTGGCCTGACCTACAGTGTTTGGTCTGACCTGCAGTGTTTGGCCTGACCTGCAGTGTTTGGCCTGACCTGCAGTGTTTGGCCTGACCTACAGTGTTTGGCCTGACCTACAGTGTTTGGCCTGACCTACAGTGTTTGGCCTGACCTACAGTGTTTGGCCTGACCTACAGTGTTTGGCCCTGACCTGCAGTGTTTGGCCCTGACCTGCAGTGTTTGGCCTGACCTGCAGTGTTTGGCCCTGACCTACAGTGTTTGGCCTGACCTACAGTGTTTGGCCCTGACCTACAGTGTTTGGCCTGACCTACAGTGTTTGGCCTGACCTACAGTGTTTGGCCCTGACCTACAGTGTTTGGCCTGACCTGCAGTGTTTGGCCCTGACCTGCAGTGTTTGGCCCTGACCTGCAGTGTTTGGCCTGACCTGCAGTGTTTGGCCCTGACCTACAGTGTTTGGCCTGACCTACAGTGTTTGGCCTGACCTACAGTGTTTGGCCTGACCTACAGTGTTTGGCCCTGACCTACAGTGTTTGGCCTGACCTACAGTGTTTGGCCTGACCTGCAGTGTTTGGCCTGACCTACAGTGTTTGGCCTGACCTACAGTGTTTGGCCCTGACCTACAGTGTTTGGCCTGACCTACAGTGTTTGGCCCTGACCTACAGTGTTTGGCCTGACCTACAGTGTTTGGCCCTGACCTGCAGTGTTTGGCCTGACCTGCAGTGTTTGGCCTGACCTACAGTGTTTGGCCTGACCTACAGTGTTTGGCCCTGACCTACAGTGTTTGGCCTGACCTGCAGTGTTTGGCCTGACCTACAGTGTTTGGCCTGACCTGCAGTGTTTGGCAGGACCTACAGTGTTTGGCCTGACCTGCAGTGTTTGGCCTGACCTGCAGTGTTTGGCCTGACCTGCAGTGTTTGGCCTGACCTACAGTGTTTGGCCTGACCTGCAGTGTTTGGCCCTGACCTGCAGTGTTTGGCCCTGACCTGCAGTGTTTGGCCCTGACCTGCAGTGTTTGGCCTGACCTACAGTGTTTGGCCCTGACCTGCAGTGTTTGGCCTGACCTACAGTATTTGGCCTGACCTACAGTGTTTGGCCTGACCTACAGTATTTGGCCTGACCTACAGTGTTTGGCCCTGACCTACAGTGTTTGGCCCTGACCTACAGTGTTTGGCCTGACCTGCAGTGTTTGGCCTGACCTACAGTGTTTGGCCTGACCTGCAGTGTTTGGCCCTGACCTACAGTGTTTGGCCTGACCTACAGTGTTTGGCCTGACCTGCAGTGTTTGGCCCTGACCTGCAGTGTTTGGCCCTGACCTGCAGTGTTTGGCCTGACCTACAGTGTTTGGCCCTGACCTGCAGTGTTTGGCCCTGACCTGCAGTGTTTGGCCCTGACCTGCAGTGTTTAGCCTGACCTACAGTGTTTGGCCTGACCTACAGTGTTTGGCCCTGACCTGCAGTGTTTGGCCCTGACCTGCAGTGTTTGGCCTGACCTACAGTGTTTGGCCCTGACCTGCAGTGTTTGGCCCTGACCTGCAGTGTTTGGCCCTGACCTACAGTGTTTGGCCTGACCTACAGTGTTTGGCCCTGACCTGCAGTGTTTGGCCCTGACCTGCAGTGTTTGGCCCTGACCTGCAGTGTTTGGCCTGACCTGCAGTGTTTGGCCTGACCTGCAGTGTTTGGCAGGACCTGCAGTGTTTGGCCCTGACCTACAGTGTTTGGCAGGACCTACAGTGTTTGGCCTGACCTGCAGTGTTTGGCCTGACCTACAGTGTTTGGCCTGACCTACAGTGTTTGGCCTGACCTGCAGTGTTTGGCCCTGACCTGCAGTGTTTGGCCTGACCTACAGTGTTTGGCCTGACCTACAGTGTTTGGCCTGACCTACAGTGTTTGGCCTGACCTGCAGTGTTTGGCCCTGACCTACAGTGTTTGGCCTGACCTGCAGTGTTTGGCCTGACCTGCAGTGTTTGGCCCTGACCTACAGTGTTTGGCCTGACCTACAGTGTTTGGCCTGACCTACAGTGTTTGGCCTGACCTACAGTGTTTGGCCTGACCTACAGTGTTTGGCCTGACCTGCAGTGTTTGGCCTGACCTGCAGTGTTTGGCCCTGACCTACAGTGTTTGGCCTGACCTACAGTGTTTGGCCCTGACCTGCAGTGTTTGGCCCTGACCTGCAGTGTTTGGCCTGACCTACAGTGTTTGGCCTGACCTGCAGTGTTTGGCAGGACCTGCAGTGTTTGGCCCTGACCTACAGTGTTTGGCAGGACCTACAGTGTTTGGCCTGACCTACAGTGTTTGGCCCTGACCTACAGTGTTTGGCAGGACCTACAGTGTTTGGCCCTGACCTACAGTGTTTGGCAGGACCTACAGTGTTTGGCCTGACCTACAGTAT